TGCTGGGTATCTTCATTTCAAGGTCTGTATCTTAATAAATAAAAATGCAATCGTCTTGAACCTTTAGATAATGATAGAGCTTGATTTGCTCTACAAAAATGTCTCAGAGACCTTCCCTCCATTTCTTATGAAAAACAGAGTAAAAACACTTTTTTCCGTAAAGTTGAATTTTTCTATGTAATTTGTTAGGAGCGTCAGATTTAGGGAATTTTTTTTGCTGGCCGACAAGATTAGAGAACTACCACCTAATTCTGTCGGGTGCAACTGCTTTTCGTAGATCGGTGATTTCTCCATGAAAAGGTGTGAAATAAAAGGCGAATAAAATATCATTGGAAAGAGGAGAATTCAGAGATTACGTATATGTAAAAATATTTTTGATCTGATGTAAAATAGTTGAATGATAGTTGAAACAAAAAGTGGTAAAATTTTTCCGACAGAATTAGGGAAATTGACTGTACTATTGTTGTTGACTCTTGTATATCATTTGATCTTCTTGATAGCTATTGAGCTTGACGACGAAACAAGTAATATGGACGTCGATCAAATATATCACCGAGTAATCTTCGTTCATTTTTTTGTTCAATTATTTTGTCATTTACACCAATAAGTAATAAATCATCAATTGGTTTGACATGAGTATAATAAATATTGTATTCAGCAAGAATATATCGAACTAATTTCATTGTAAATCTGTAATAGAATGGACGAGTGATAAAATACCTATAACGTTGCATTCGAAAATAAAGTTTTTTTTTCGATTTCGTCGTTTTCGAGCTTCAGCTGATTGTGTTCGACTATGTAATTGACGTTTCTTGGTTAAAGATTGTTGTTGTTGTTCATAATCACTGGCATCATCAACCATATCATGGTTGTTGACACGTAAATCATTATAATTTGGCGGTAATGCAGGATTTGGTTCATTATCATCATCTGATATTGCTTCATATAATGATTCATTATTATTTGGTAGTAATGCTTTATTTAATTCATTATCATCAGTTGAAATTTCTTCATATAACATATCATTATTAATAGTAATTTTAATACATTAATTAACTGTTATTTCATCATCATCATCATCATCATCGGAGATTAATTCAATATCATCACTAATATTCTTAATTATTCGTTGATTAATATTTGTATTTGCTGAGTTGTTATTAGCTCGTGATGATGGTGACAATGCCTGAAATGGATCAAGAATATTAATTTTTGTTACATATTGAAATGTCCAGTATAATGTAACAGGTCGAATTAAACATGTTGCTGCAAAACAATCATATATTGCGTAATGTGTCATTTTATTTCTTTTTGATGTTGATAAGGTTGAGTACATTGGATCTAGTTCCGTTGCCCATTCATTAGCAGTAATTGACTTGTCAATAAACATTCTACATGTATAAACTAAAGCTTGTTGTAATGCTCATGGTTCATTAGGACGATAAGGACTTGATTTATGACAAGTACACTTTGATAATAAATTTATTTGTCCCTCAAAATTACTATCATCAATAATAAAATTACGACGATTTGACAGGCTGCACATCTCGCAATGAGATAGTGCCCAACTATACCAATCAACAAATTTAAGTTGAAAATTTACCACTGATGTTTTAATTGGCCATTCAACCCATTGATAAACAATAGCTGGGTAAATTTTCTTACGTAATGGTACCCAAGAATATATGTTATTTCTAAATTTAAGAATTAATTCAAATAATTGTTTAATTTGTAAATGAATTAATGAATTAATTGGTGGTAAATGTGCAAGTTCTACTAATATAACAAAAAATGGTAATTGTTGAGGTATCGTTTGAATTTGAATTAATGTTAATTGCTTGGTTGATTTTTCACCTGCAGTATCAAAATGTAAATTCATTACAATTTCGTACATGATTAATTAATTTTTGCATTGTTTCAGTTGTTGTATATTTCTTTACATATATATAATTTCATAAAGTGATGTTGGTAGATCAAATGCTGGATATTGTTGTTGATATTGATAATTTTTCTTCGCCTTTTTTTGCAGCACATATCCAATTCGATTTTTGATTATCATCAAGATGAGCTGGAGAATTGTTAATATCACATCAATGATATGGAACAAATTTATCTAACATAATAATGACTAAAGAAAAGAAGATTAAACAAATTGATATAAAATAAGTGAAGAGAAAAAAGAATAATATGAATAAGGTAAACAAATAAATCATATAATTTATCATTCGTTCTGAGCAATAAGCTTATCAAGATTGCATACATAGATATCGTTAGTATATTAATAAAATATGTAATACGTGTAAAGTTAAAAACATAAATAACTTTGTTTGTTGAAAACAGAAACACTTCTGAAAGAGAAGATTTCCTGTGTGTAATTTGTTTGTATTTGTAATAACCAATATTTGCTAATGCTAACCATATGCAAATAATAATTATATTCTCAATCCTGAAAGGATGGAGTCTTCCCGACGGAAATTCATACGTTTGTCCGGTGTCTGATTGGTTGAAAAATGGACCAATCAGATTTGAGGAGGACTTTTCTTTCTTATTATTGGGACAAGTGCTAGTCATGTTGAGGTCGATCCTAGGGTTATCGGGGACGCTCTATCGAATGAGGGGTATATG